GGGCCATCGGTCCCTTTATTTTCTTCTCATATTTTTTTTTGTCCAACTTCTCTTATCTAGGTGGGTGTACAGAAATTACAATGTCCTCACCTGTAATTTTACTGGTTGATACGGAGAATTTTCCTTGAAAGATCCATTTTCTAACTGACATTTCTCAACCAGCCATAATAAGGAATTACAAATTGAATTTTGGTTCTGCTGCACGTATCTATTTACTTGTCCAAGAACTCTTAAAGCAAAAGCTGTTAACCTGTAAGACAAAAATCACATAAACATTCAGACATTGAATCTCTCTTGGATTTCAATTTTTAAACAAGGTGTTAGCCCAAACAATGTTTGGTTTTTGAAAGAAAGTAATATTTTAAAACACACAATTCCAAAGTAAATCATTGCCACTTATCAGCAAATCCACGGTTCTGCGAACATCTCTGAAATATTCAATCGATTGTGTGTAGCGCACTTACATCTCCGATGACAACACTGTTGGCCAGTACACAAATTAGAAACAGATTCCTGGTTATTACAACATTTCAACCAGCTACAGCTGAAGATCAGAGAGACGAAACAAACATTTCTGCGTCAAGGCACAGGCCCTTAGGATCTGTTCAGTACATATTGCCCGAGTAAATAAAATGAACACAAGACACGGCAGAGGAAAACCATAAAATCCTGGACTGTATGATCTGTAAAAGGCCATCTAATGTAAATCCATAGCCGACGCACAACATCCTTTGCCTACCACAGTGTTTATCTGGCAATTGACAGGAAACTTGTCACTGTAGAAACCAAACCAAATTGAGCTCAAAGCTAGCGAGTCGATGCCAATGCTGGCCCAAAGAACCCCAAAGGACTGGGGGTTTTCAAGACTGTAACTCTTTACAGGAGTAGAAAGGCTCATCCTTCTCACTTAGGAAGCTTTATCATTATATAATCTCAAGGAATGTCCCTCAGATAATATCAGAGAAGATCCAATTTGTAACCTCCACAGAAACTCTTATAATACCATCTCTCTCCTTCCAACTATTTTACCCACTCCACCCCAAAGCTGTTCACTCTCACCTGCCCTAAATGTCT